GATTACAAAAAGAACAAAAGAAAATACTTGGGCTGTGAGTAGACAACACCCAAAAAAGGAAGATCCTCAAATAAGCATTCAGCACCATCTTCCTGCAAAAATAAAGAGAACAACAGAAAAAAAAAACAACTATAAATAAAGAGTACCTTGCAATTCTTTAAATTTCCCACTTGATCAAAAAGTATAGGCCTGCAAAATACTCTCAAAAGAAGCAAGTAAGAATGCTCGAAAATATCACAGAAGAAAAACCCGTAATTTCGCCTGAAGGGCGGTACAGATATAAAAGAGAAACAACATATCCTTCAAGGCCATAAAATTAACAATGAAATTCAACTTAATAAGTCTAGTGAAACGAAAGAATTTCCCCTCCAGTAAAATCCTATCTTCAGAAAGCGTATAACTAACATTCTCCCTCCAGCTATTGAAAATGTACTCGTCCTCCCAAATGTAAACCCCACAGTTATTATAATGATACAGGAAAGCCATCAGTCTCACCAGATGTAACCTGCCCTCCACCCGCAAATAGATCTTACCGGAGTAAATGTTTGGGCCACAGAACAACCAACCATCAAACTTCCAAGCCACCTACATAATACAGAGAAACAAGTTAAGAAAAAGATTCTTACCATCCAGCTTGGAAGAACAAAACAAAAGGAAACACATGAGAACCAAACCAGAAACCAAACTCCAGAAAAGTAAAATCGAATGGTTAAGGTGCCCACTATCCCAAATCCCAATCCAGAAAAGCACAGAAATGAAAGGGAAAAACTCAACCAACAAAAAAACCTTACAACAAATAAAATAGTTAGAGAGACACTTTAAAATAAGAGAACAAGACACCCTTAGGACGGCAGTGCAAAACATAACCAAAAACTTCCAGATTACCTTGTACCTGGACAAAAAAATGCAGCAAACATTAGTGGAGGACCTTAAACGCTTAGTGACTGGAATGCAGAAAGGCAAAGCCAACCAAACAACAGCATTAGTAAAAACCCAAATACCATAAACAAAACAATTGTTAAGACTGACAGGCTGACCGTTTTTGAGAAAATAAGACATAAAGTGATCCCAATACACAGAGAACAACCCGCAAAATAAACCATCATCAATAAAGCAAGAAAAATCTTTAAGAACCCCCCCATCAAGGAGCACAGCACGGGAAACGCACCAAGCTACAGAAGAATACAACATGAAAAAAATCAAAGCAGAGAGAGCCTAATGCACAGGAAAATAAGGCAAGTTCAAATGATCTAATCTAGCAAGACCAAGGGCTTCATTGGGAAGGTTGTACTCATCGTATTCCTCAAAATTAGCAAGAGTGCAACCCCTTTTGGCAAGTAAATCAGCCACCGCATTGCATTCCCTTAAAATATGCGTAATGGTAAAGGAGCAAAGGGACAAAAATTGTTTAATATCTCTAATTTTATAAAAATTGTCAGCGTTAGCAGAACATTGACCTTTGATATAGTGAATAATAAGCACAACGTCCAGCTCCACCCAAATATTAGCCATACCAATGGAAATACAAAGCTTAATTCCGTAAAGCAAACTTTCCAGTTCAGCCTGAATAGCATTAATAGCATTGGAGGGACCCGCAAAAGCCTTTATGACACAACCTTTATTGTTTCTAATAATGCCACCACACCCAGCACCTGAGGAGTAAAGGAACCATCGGTATTAAGTTTAAAACACCCCTCCAAAGGTTTTTTTTCCAAAAAATGATCCTATTGTTAGGAACAGTAACAGGTGAAAGAAAACTCAAACCAAACTCATTAACCAAATGTTGGTACCCTTTGAAATAGTCGTTCTTGAGAAGCTTAGCCACAAACAATTGAACAATTTTATGCTTAATTTTAGAAATGATAGTATTCGCATCCATTCTATCATTAACATGTTTAGAGGCATTCCTAGTCTCCCAAATATACTAACAAATCAAAATAGGAATAATATTGCGAATTTAACCTTTGACTTTAATAAACCAACCGGTAAGAACATCATTCATAGAAGTGAAACTAAAAGTAGGAAAAACTTTAAAAAGATTATCAAAATAAATCCAAACTTTCATCGCAATGGGATCTTGAAAAAAAACATGAAGTAAGCTTTCAATGTGGTAGCAACATTGACATTTAGACACAATAAAGAAACCTTTCTTAATAAGCAATGTATTCACTGGAAGGTGGTTGTGCAAAATCCTGCACACCAAAAAAGAGTAAGTAGGAGGAATGCTATCATGCCAATAAGCAACATTAATGAAGTTAGTAGGCATAGGTTGCTTGATAAACTTCCAAACATGTTTAGAACTAAAATGGCCATCATTAGAACAGGTAGACATAATGCAATGTTCCATATTCGAATGTATAGAAATACACATAATTAATTGGATAATGAAATTAGGAAATAAATTGTAAAGTAAATTCACATTCCAATTATCATTAATAAAAAAATCCTTAACTTTGCAAAGAGAAGAAGAACGGATATTTAAAAGGTTATCGATAGAGAAGTTACCCAACCACTTATCTTGCTAAAAATAAATATTGCCACAACCTAAACCCCATTGGATGAGATCCTCCGCTTCCCACTTAATATTGTATAATCTTTTCCAATTAGGAGAATCACCCAACTTGAAGGCAAAATTTAACGGATGTTTCACTCCACAGTATTTAAAAAACATAAATTTAGCCCAAAGACTCTTCTTGGCTCTAAAATTAAACCAAAGTTTAAAATTGAAAGTATGAGCCATCTCTTGGATAGTTTTAAATCCAAGTTTTCCCTCATCCATACTCCTAGAGCAATTCTTCCAAGATCCCCATAAGATAGCCTTGCAATCGGCCTTGGATCCCCAAAGAAATTTGTTGAAGAGAACCTCCAACCTTTTAGAAACATAAATAGTCGGAACCACAATGTGAAGCAAATAAATAGGAATGGAGCAGAGAACATGTTTAATGAGCACAAGTCTACCACAATAAGATAAGTAATTAAAAGCCCAAGAATTAAGTTTCTTTTGGATGTCATTGAAGATTTCATCGAATAAAAATGACCGTTTACGACCTTTGAATAAAGGAGAGCCTAAATATTTCATCGGTAGGGACTTTATCATTAAACCCTTTTTTCTTTCATCGGTACCCTTTTTTTCTTTTGGTTTTATTAAAGGTTAACCCACTGGTCTTCTGAAACTTGTCAAGAAATCTAAAAAGGTTTTGAATATTATGAATAGAGCCATTCGCAAAGATAATGAAATCATCAGCAAAACTAAGGTGAGATAGAGGCAAAACACCACCAGACCGAAAATACAAACTCAGATTCATTCTAAAAAACTGGTTCAGGCCACGAGATAAAAATTCCATAGCTATAATGAAAAAAGCAGGAGATAGAGGATCACCCTGTCTAAGACCATTAGAAGAACGAAAAAAGCCATGAGGTTTACCATTAATAATACTGAAAAATAATAGAATTCAATGCTATGCTTGATTAATTTGATAAATTGAGAATTAAAATCAAAGGACCGTAACACAGCATAAAGAAACTCCCAGTTCAGATTATCATAGGCTTTGGTTATGTCCATTTTGAAAATAATGTTCCCACCAACAACCTTTTTATCCAAATCATTAATTAGTTCCCACCAACAACTCGCAGTCATCTAGGTATGATGCAACAGCTATCATGACAAAGGTTTGAGCTCTGCAACACCCCAAACTTGTGCCATAGCTCTGCGAGACGGACTGGATGGTTTTCTTTCTTATTTTTTTGAAGGGTTGCATCCCTTGCCACTTGGGGTTATTTACTTGTCTTACTTTTATATTTTGGGTGGTTAGACATTGAAAATGGTACGTGTGAGAAGAGAAGCAAGAAGAGCGTGAGAAAGAAGAGAGATTGTACTTATTTCTTCCAATTTTCATAGTAGATTTATTGGTTTGGTACGTGTGGCTCCATGATTTTTTCCCTATTTTGATTTTCATAGTAGATTTATTTTTCCGCTGCTTTTAGTTTTTTGCTTGTTTTGTCATTGTGGTGTTTACTCCTCATCCCCAATAGTTGTATACTAGATATTGCTCGATTTTACTAACCTATTCATTCAAATGTATGCCCTAGTACTGATTCACCTCCATTTATGATTCCTTAAAAGTAAGAATCCTAATGGAACTTAAATGTTGGTAAAAGCTACAGTTTCTGTAAGGTGAAACAGCAATCATCATTTTAGTAGTTAATTGATACAGAATATTCATATCCCTAGGATTCTTATTATGGTGAAAATTTACTGTGGTGGTTAATATCTCTTCTTCCTTGATTTCTCTATATATGAAGTTCCTATCGTAACAACCAACTGCTTATTAAGAGGATTCATCGCTCAAAATGTTCAACAATCTTCATGCCCTCAACCTTGAAACTTGCTTCATTTATTTATTTAGAATTATAATAGCTACTCTTATTTCCTTTTTTGAATTTCGTTTGCTTTGATCTTTAGAAAGTATGCAGACAACCTGATATTGTCTTATCTAAATTAGGAAAAGTTAAAGCTTTTTTGTTATTTATAATTTTATAAAGAAAATTATTTGTTTTAAAAAACTAAAAGTAGCCAACTCTCACATGGTTCAAAGGAGTAACCGCAAACTAGTATAAACTTCTGTGTGAATTTTGAGCTTTACGTTCACCTGACTTAAGGGGAAATCTCAAGACCTGTGAATCCCATGAGGTAATCCCACGAGGGAGCTTTAAATTGCATGCATCCTAAAAAAAATGATGAAACTTCTTACAACTATTTTATTGATAAAAATTAGTGTATAAGACCAATTATAATAAGTAGATATAAGGTGTAATACAAGTAAGAAGAGCTCAAGATAAGTTATTGATGAATTCATGAGTTAGGTAGTAAAGCATGTAAGTTGCATTTCTATATTAAATGTGCATTTATGTATTAAAAATGAAGTGTCAGGCGATGGATAATACATAACTTCTCTTTGTATATTTGAACTCTCTAACATCGCTTCGTTTACACCTTATAGTATTATCTGCAAGAAGCCTCAAAACTTCGTCAGCAAATCACCAACTTACAGAACTCAAACAGGTAAAACGGAGTTCATTTGCTCATTTTTTTCCAAATTCAAAAGTTCCATATGTTCAAGAATCAATGATGATCGCAGGAATCTGATGGGCGAGGCTTTAAGTACTATGAGCTTAAGGGACCTCAAGCAACTGGAAACAAGACTAGAGAAAGGCATCAACAAAATCAGATCTAAAAAGGTTATATGCATACTAATTTAAAAAATTATTAGATTTTATCTACAGCTTTTCTTTTACTGAAACGTTTTAGCTAAATGTGCTTCATTCATTCAGAATGAATTGTTATATGCTGAGATTGAGTACATGCAGAAGCGGGTAAAACTATAACCATATTTAAATTTCCATTGCATTCTCTTATAACGTCCATTATAATGAAATTTCTGCTCACTTTTTTACTGCAGGAGATGGAACTGCAAAATGATAACATGTACCTCCGAAATAAGGTCAGTGTTTTTTCTTTTCAGTAATGAAAATGTGGTTAGTCTTATTTCAGAAAATAATATTTTATGCCATTCTAAAATCCATTATATGCATTAAAATTTGAAATTTAAAAAGAGTGTCTATAGTCATGAACGACAAGCACAACCGAGGTGGGGACTAGAGCAATGATCTATTCCCTCAATTGTGACTTCAAGAATACGGGTTCAAGTCATGAAAAAAAACCTTTTTCAATAGGATATATAAAGTTATGTACATCGACGCATCTTTAAACCTTAGGTACTTCATGCTCTGAGTAAGGAAAGGTCTTCTTTTTTTTTTTTTGG